AATTTACTTATAAATATGTGTGGCTCCTTAAAAAAATATTCATTTAAAAATCCACGCCTTGTGTGGCTCCTTAAAAAAATATTCATTTAAAAAACCACGCCTTGTGTGGCTCCTTAAAAAAATATTCATTTAAAAATCCACGCCTTGTGTGGCTCCTTAAAAAAATATTCATTTAAAAATCCACGCCTATATAGGTGATAGTCCTTGGGAAAATATTCATTTAAAAATCCACGCATTTATAGGTGATAGTCCTTGGGAAAATATTCATTTAAAAATCCACGCCTATATAGGTGATAGTCCTTGAGAAAATATTCATTTAAAAATCCACGCCTTGTGTGGCTCCTTAAAAAAATATTCATTTAAAAATCCACGCCTTGGGTTGCTGCTTGAACATATTATTTGAAATATCCAATCCTTGGGTGGCTCCTTGAAAATATTATTTTAAAAATCCACCCTTGTGCGGATCCTTGAAACAAATGTATTTTCACAAATAGTTTTTTTTTTTAAATTCACCTCTGATGGGGTTTCGAAAAACATAATTATTTATTATTATTATTTTTTAATCGTATAATTCAAATGATATATCCACCGACATACGAGGTTTACCATCAACTGTGTACGAAGTGTGTACATAATAGCCACCCTTAGGCAACGGCATTAATCTCTTCTTGCCGTAAAATGTAAAATTGTTGACATAAATGTCATGCTGAAAATTATAAGAATTCCAACAAAATTAATTTCCCGATTTATTTTTTCGACTTACATTATACGGACACGAATGATTCAGATTCGTATAGGGTGCAATGAAATCAAAGACCCTTCCAAATGCCCGATTCCTTTTACGATTTTTCAAAAAATTACATACATCCCAGGTATTATTGAACAATGGCATACTTTTTGTCTTATCAAATCCCGTTGATAATGTCATCCGAGCATTTGTCAGTGGCAATTTTTCAAGATGCGCATGAACAGAAATCCATGAAGCTGTTTTATTTTCCAAACGCACCTGGCAGAGATCAAATCGCCCGAAGGTGGGATCTATCACTTTGCATTGTATGCTCTTGAATAGGAATAGAGCTGGGGACTGTAATTAAATGCAAATTTAATTAAATAATTTCAAGGTGTAGAAAATGATATATTGAAATATCTTACCTTTTTAAATACTGAAGCGAATAGAACGATTTTTAACAAAAACATGTTTGCCTTGGATGTAGTTATTTATGTTACTGATATGAAAGCAGTCGCCTATGACAACTCTGCAAAATATATAATTGATTTAAATGACCCAAAATTATTTGATTACTCTATACTCATAAATAGTTATGCTCATAAATAATTATTGGAAATAATAAATTATATTTCGAAAATTTGGAAAATTTCCATTAAAAATCTTGTCTATATCAGATAACAACATACCACATGTAAATATTTCGGACGATTTCATTTAAAATGGTGTCTAACATTTCCGCGCAAAAATAGTTGTTCTCATGATAAAAATTCAGAAAAAATACAAATATTTCTAAGACGGCCGCAATATTATTCTGGCCTGATAACAAAAAAGTGAATATTTTTTACAAGGACAAGGCCAAACCAATTGTTGAAGGAATATGTCGATATGAATATGTTCATAATTTCATTCATAGATAACTTTTTATATTGTACATATACCTCGCCTTGAATACAAACAAAGAATTCTCATAATCATGAGAAAGACACTATTTGTTTTTCAAAAAATGTAAACATTTCATTAATAGAACAACTATTGTCCTACTTCGCTCTATTTTGCCACTATTTGCGTTCATTTTCCCTCTCTCTCCCTCTTTTTGCACTAACACAAATGTATTCCTCACAAGAAAGAAAAACAGCACCACACCATTCATTGTTCGGCTGTGTTCGGTTTTGGTATTGTTCTCCCCTTCTCCCCCGAATTTCCATTAACTCGATTATATTGGTGTTATAAAATTCGCACCTGTGTTTTTGGCGCAATCTTTCGGAAGTGTGTTGATGGCTCAGAACGCTAAGTGATCTGCCAACATTTATTTTGCTTTGGATACCTAGGTTCGAACCCTAACCATGCTCAGTTGAAGTATTTTTATACCCTTCACCACACTGTGGTACAGGGTATTATGCCTTTGTGCATATCTTTGTAACAGGCAAAAGGAAACGTGATAGACACTTGGTTCTTTTTGAGAATATACATAGAATCACTTTCTAAGTCGATTTATGCATGTCCGTCCGTCTATCTGTCTGTCCATGTTAAATTGTAAACAAAGTACATGTCGCATTTATAATCCGAATTGATGAAATTTGGCACAGCTCAAGGACGAACTCTATTGAAATTTGAAAAAATCATTTCAGATTTAGATAACACTCCCATATATATTTTTTTTCGATTTAAGGTGAATGGTGTACCAAAGTCCCTATATATCTTTCGATTTGCACGAAATTTGGAATATCGTACTGACTTGAGTCTAGAATGATGTGTATAAAATTTCTTGAAAATCGGTTCAGATTTAGATATAGCTCCCATATATAGTTTCGTCCGATTTTAGGCAAATGGTGCACCAAAGCACCAACATTTTACTTAATTGTGTCTGAAATGATGTGCGCTGTGTTTAGTGAAGATGGGTTCAGATTAAGATATAGCTCCCATATATATTTTCGTCCGATTTAATTAATTAATTTAATTAATTAATTAAAATCGGTTAAGATTAAGATATAGCTCCCATATATATTTTCGTCAGATTTTAAGTGAATGGTGCACCAAAGTCCCTATGTATCTTTCGATTTGCGCGAAGTTTGACATAGCGTATTGAATTGAATCTAGAATGATGTCTGCTAAGCTTCGTAAAAATCGGTTCAGATTTCGATATAGTTCCCATATATATTATCATCAGATTTTAACTGAACTGCATCTAGAATGATGTATTTTCGTTGATTTTAGGTAAATATTGCACCGGTTGATACGAAACGTATAAATTTGAGACGCTATCGCTTTTTTTGTAAGTGGTGCAGATGCAGACACAGCTTCCATATATATTACAAACGGGTATCTGATTGAGATTAAATTTTCAAGAGTGCAACTTACCGAATTGCGTTTATCAAATCGATTTACATAAATTCGACCCATTGTATGCAAACGACTCTAAACTTGCCCGAATGAAATTAAATTTAGCATAGATTCCAGAAAGTTCACATATTCAAGTTTATTAAATTTAATGTCAATGTTCTTTCGAAAAGACGGAGTCTATTAGGAGACTTATGTATACTATACCCAAAGTGGGGAAGGTTTATATTAAAATAGTTAGCTGATTTGTTGCGTTGTCAGTTTTTACCCTACAAAGTATGGAATTGTAAGACGATTTAGCTATCGAATCTGACGATAGTCAAATACATCGGCCAGCATCTCACCATATAAAAACTAAAATATTGGGTCCGAAATTAACATATATCGGTCATTAATTAGGTATATCCAAATATTACCTAATTCTTAAATGTAGTAATCAATATAGGCATAGCCTCATATAACTTTGCTCTCTAAATTGCTGTAGTTTGAGGATTTTATACTCTACCCAGGGTTATCAGTATCAGTCCACGTGTTGGGGTTTTCAGATTTTAGGAAAAATCGCGATTAAAAATTGCTACAATTTGTATTTGGTGTACATAATGGGTTACATAAATCGGTTTGTAGAATTATCGGTTAAGGTTCCCTTTTTGGCATGTTCCCTATATTTTCTTCCACATACATCAGCGTAATTGGTATAAATTTTAAGGTCAACCACTACTCTTGGATATATAGTCAACATCTCCGGTCTATGCCCTTCTGAGGTAAGTTTTTCACATAACTGTGGGGTCATAGCTGTGGCCTCTAAAGCGACGAGAAAATGATAAAAAAAATAAAGTATTTTGTCCATTTGATAAAAACTTGGACAGTAACAGGTGTTTGTTTAACTAATACGACACTATGCCAAAATATGTTTGACACAGGTGTGGCCTTTTAAATTATAGAATTTCAAAATTAAATGAGAAAATTTCGATACATAAATTAGAAAAAGATTATTTTTATACCCTTCACCACACTGTGGTACAGGGTATTATGTCTTTGTGCATATGTTTGTAACAGGCAAAAGGAAACGAGATAGACACATGGTTCCTTTTGAGAATATGCATAGAATCACTTTCTAAGTCGATTTATGCATGTCCGTCCGTCTGTCTGTCTGTGCATGTTAAATTGTAAACAAAGTACAGGTCGCATTTATGATGCGAATTGGATGAAATTTGGCATAGGTCACTTATTCGACCTAAGGACGAACCCTATTGAAATTGGGAAAAATCGGTTAAGATTTAGATATAGCTCCCATATATAGTTTCGTCCGATGTCATGTAAATGGTTCCCCAAAGTCCCTATATGTCTTTCGATTGGCACGAAATTTGGCATATCGTACTGAATTAAGCCTAGAGTGATGTCTGCCAAGTTTCGATAAAATCGATCTAAATTTAGATATACCTCCCATATATAGTTTCGTCCGATTTCATGTAAATGGTTCCCCAAAGTCCCTATATGTCTTTCGATTGGCACGAAATTTGGCATATCGTACTGAATTAAGCCTAGAGTGATGTCTGTCAAGTTTCGAGAAAATCGATCTAAATTTAGATATAGCTTCCATGTATAGTTTCGTCCGATTTCATGTAAATGGTGCCCCAAAGTCCCTATATATCTTTCGATTTGCACGAAATTTGGCATATCGTATTGAATTAAGCCTAGAGTGATATCTGCCAAGTTTTTAGAAAATCGGTTCAGATTTAGATATAGCTCCCATATATAGTTTCGTCCGATTTCATGTAAATGGTGCCCCAAAGTCCCTATATATCTTTCGATTTGCACGAAATTTGGCATATCGTACTGAATTAAGCCTAGAGTGATGTCTGCCAAGTTTCGAGAAAATCGGTCCAGATTTAGATATAGCTTCCATATATAGTTTTGTCCGATTTCATGTAAATGGTGCCACAAAGTACCTTTCGATTTGCACGAAATTTGCTAAATTTCGTGAAAATCATATATAATTTCGTCCGATTTCATATAAATGGTGCATCAAAGTCCCTATATATCCTTCGATTTGCACGAAATTTGGCATAACGGACTGAATTGAGCCTAGAGTGATGTCTGCCAAGTTTCGAGAAAATCGGTTTATATAGCTCCCATATATATTTCATGTTAATAGTCCTGTTTAATATACCCATAGTGGTGAAGGGTATCATATAGTCGGCCCCGTCCGACTTTACTACTTTCCTTACTGGTTTGCATCTGTTGAACTTGTTTCCTTCCATTGTTTTTCATTTGTTTTCTCTCTGCCCATTTAACAACAAGAACAACCAATAACAAATTAAAGTAATTTATTTTAAATCTAAGTTGTTATCATGTCTATGCATGAGTAAATTAAGTAATTTGCATATTTATATTGAATTTGCAGTATACAAGTTATAGCACAGCGCTGATTAGCAATGATATATTGAATATTTCGATTGGAAACAATGCATTGGCCACAAATGTGGTCGGACAACATGCCTAGACTAAGATTGTGATTTAGATTAAAAATCGGTAGAATCAAAGGTGAAATTGTTACACTAACTACGTTATAAATTAAAATTATAATTAACTTTAAAGCATAAGCATTAGAAGTTCTGCCAACGTAGGCGGTGCCAAGATAAAAAGTAGTTTACAACTCACCAACTAACCCTTCAATGTCAGTTGGTAACAAATAATTTATAAACAAGCTATATTTAAATGAGGGAAAGTGAAAGTTGGCTTAAAGCCGGAGAATACAGAGAAAAAAAATTAATTAACAATTTTATAATTTCATACATAGTTTAATTTTTTTTTAAGTAAACATTTCATTAATACTAAAACTATTTTCATACTTCTACTACACCACTACTTGCGCTCATTTTTCCCCTCTCTCTCCCAGAAAAAAACACCACCATTCATCGATTGGCTGTGTTTTGTTTCGATATCGTCCTCTGACGCTCCCCTCACTTGGTAGTTGTTTAGTTTATCAACAGTTTGATTGTCTAATATTTCTCTTGCTTACAACCACGGACTCTCCACTCACTTAATTGTGAATAGGTTTGCATTCCATTGTTTCTTTTTTTCAAAAACTGTTATAAAATTCACATATGTATTTTCCAAATAATTTCGA